ATAAGACAAAAGGTTTCCGTGCCACCGAAGAAGTGGGCTGTAGTCCACGAAAGCTTATGCTCTAATAAATTTGTTAGTCTCTAAGGTGCCACAAGTACTCCTGTTCTTCTTTTTGCGGATACAGACTAACACGGCTGCTACTCTGAAACCTGATGTATACATTTAGCCATATTGAAATGTGTTCTGTTTGCTTGCACCAAGTTTACCAAGAGATCCAGATTGCTCTGAGTCAGCAACCTGTCCTAGTAATTATTTTTGTGTCATCTGAAAACTTTGTCAGTGATGATTTTATGTTTTCTCCCAGGTCATTGATTTAAAAAAAGGTATTTGGCATAGGGCCAAGAATAAATCCCTGCAGGACCCCACTGGGGAAACACCCATTGATGATGATTCCCCATTTAATGTGTGCCATGTTAATTTTATATCATTCAAGTTTTTTAATCAGAATGTTGTGCAGTACCAAGTCAAACACCTTACAGAAGTCTCTAAGTATATTAATTCAATACTAGTGCCTTTAACAACCAAACTTGTAATCTTATCATAAAAAGATATCAAGTTAGTTTGATAGACTCTATTTTCCATAAACCCATGTTGATTGGCATTAATTACATTACTGTCCTTTTAATACTTTATTAATCAAGTCCTGTATCAGCCACTCCATTATCTTGCTTAGAAGTCTGTCTCGTGTGTTGGAGGAGCATAGGAAGGGAAGAAGAATGGTTACTGTGTATAACCTCAGAAACTCACTCAGCACATGTACCCCTTACTCCTTCATATTCACAGACTTCCTTCCGGTCAGACTGGAGATGCTAAAGATCATGGTCACAGGCATTTATAACTCTTCCATGTTTTTTAATAGAATATATGTCCAAATCCCCCTGACTGCCTGGAAAATGTCATCCCTTGCCTTGAGTATTTATAGAGACTGATCTAAAACACAGTGTTCTACGAGTGTGGCACATGCCCAGCAAAAAATTACCCACTCCTTGACCACATAAAAAGATACGATAGTAACTAATATGCTGAATAAGGAAACAAGGTTTCTCTCGTGGTTACTGTAAAGTAGTCACAAAATAAAATCTTTATTGTAAACATTATTGTAGATTGTTTCCCATGATTATAAGGAGGAATAAGTGAACGATTAACTATGTGAATTAGCTGCTTTTTTATCAGATACATCCAGGGCACAACAATATTTGGATATACATACACACTTCTTTTCCAATGCCACTCTCCCAAAAAGTATATTCTAACCCACACTAGTATCTCTCCTCTTTCTCCCTTCCCCAACTCTCTCACCCTTTAGGGAAAAAAAGTCCCAAATGGTACTGTCCCACTCCTCACCTCATGCCTCCTTCTTTGTCCTCCTGCATCAATTTTCATGTCCTGTAATAATCGGGGAAAGAGGCTGAAGCCATTGTGTACTACTTCCCTATGTATGGTGGCAGTTGCATGGAGCCAGTGTAGGAAACAGACAGTAAGCACTGATGGGTGCGAGTGTGGTGTCAAAGCAGTTGGATGGCAGCTTTTCTGCTTCCTCACAGCAAAGGGCTCTCAGTAGTGAGAATGAGTGTTTGAGACCCCCAGTCTTCTCACCTTTTCTTCCATCAGTACCCCGTGTTGCTTCTCCTCTGCTCACTCTACTTCCATTGCTAATTGGAGCAAATGCCAAGAGGGGCAATCCTTGGAATCTACAGGACCCACTAGATTTGTGGATCCCTAAGCGCAGTATGGGCAGGATATATGCCCATTAATTATATATGCGTGTATATATAATATCACTATGTGTAATTTGCTCATGTTGAACTAGGGGGAAAAGAATATTGATGGCCTGTTTGTATCAGTGAGAGTAAATAGAGGCAGTAGTGTATTCCTAGTCACCACAAGTAGATAATTACATTAAAGTGCAAAATATTTTAAGTAGGGCTGTCAGTTAATTGCAGTTAATTCACACGATTAACTCAAAAAAATTAATCGCGATTCATCGTTGTTTTAATCGCACTGTTAAACAATAGAATACCAATTGAAATGTATTAAATATTTTGGATGTTTTTCTACATTTTCATACAGTATTCTGTCCTATAATTGAAATCAAAGTGTATATTATTTTTATTACAAATATTTGCACTATAAATATGATAAAAGAAAATTGTATTTTTAAATTCACCTCATACAAGTACTGTAGTGCAGTCTCTTTGTTGTGAAAGTGCAGTTTACAAATGTAGATTTTTTTTGTTACATAACTGAACTCAAAAACAAAACAAAATAAAACTTCAGAGCATACAAGTCGACTCAGTCCTACTTTTTGGTCAACCAATCGCTAAGACAAAAAAGTTTGTTTACATTTACAGGAGATAATGCAGCCCTCTTCTTATTTACAATGTCACCAGAAACTGAGAACAGGCATTTGCATGGCACTTTTGTAGCCGGCATTGCAAGGTATTCCGATGCAGAAACTACAGAACCCAAACCACCAAAAAAGAAAATCAACCTTCTGCTGGTGGCATTTGACTCAGATAATGAAAATGAACATGTGTCAGTCCGCACTCCTTTGGATTGTTATCAAGTAGAACCCATCGTCAGCATGGACGCATGTCCCCTGGAATGGTGGTTGAAACATGAAGGGACATATGAATCTTTAACGCATCTGGCACGTAAATATCTTGCGACGTCGGCTATAAGAGACCCATGAGAAGAACGCCTGTTCTCACTGTCCGCTGACGTAAACAAGAAGCGGGCAGCATTATCTCCTGCAAATGTAAACCAACTTGTTTGTCTGAGTGATTGGCTGAACAAGAAGTAGGACTGAGTGGACTTGCAGGCTCTAAAATTTTACTTTTTTTATTTTTGAATGCAGTTTTTTGTACATAATTATACATTTGTAAGTTCAAATTTCATGATAGAGATTGCATTATAGTACTTGTATTAGGTGAATTGAAAAATACGATTTCTTTTGTTTTTTTTACAGTGCAAATACTTGTAATCAAAAATAAATATAAAGTGAGCACTGTACACTTTGTATTCTGTGTTGTAATTGAAATCAGTATATTTGAAAATGTAGAAAACTTCCAAAAAATATTTAAATGGTATTCTTTTATTGTTTAACAGTGCGACTAATCGCAATTAATTTTTTTAATTGCTTGACAGCGACCTAATTTTAAGTGCAAGAAATTGCATTTATACTGTTGACTCAATGGGAAAGACCAGTCTGGAGACGCTGTTTCCTGAAGGATATCAGGAAAAATCAGAATACATCAATTGCTTACATATTATAAAGTATAGAATTTTTCCATGTTACCAATTTAAATCACAGTGGCTGATTATAGTAAGCATTGCTATTGAGATAAAGACAAATTTTGTCAGGGCATTGTGGTATTCGCCCTGAACTGACAGTGTATATTATTTTGTAGGTGAGTTGTGTGAGGAGAAACTAGATTTCTGTGCCCAAGACTTGAACCCTTGTCAACATGACTCAAAGTGCATCCTGACACCCAAAGGATACAAGTAAGCATAAAATATTGTCATAGTTCAACTACACTGTTTCTACCATTCTCTTATTCTACCATTCTTTCACCCCTTCAGGGTTTGTTTTCATGTGGGTCAATTCTGCTATCAATACACATTCATAATAATTGTGATCACATATCAATGGCAGAACCTGACCCATTTGTTTTCATATATACCTATGCATTAACTTGAAAAGTATCTAGTGAATTAACTGTTTTTTCAGTAGTGTGGATTAAATAGGACCAATGAAGAATGGAGAGTTTCATTCTCTGTGACAGTCTACACAAAATCCTTTTGGAAACGTGGACTGTGAAGGGAATAATTAAGTTAAATTAAAGAAGGATTATTGTACTGCTTTGTGAGTAGTAATTACAAGACAGGTTATTAGTAAGACACATTAAAGCCATTATAAAATAAGGAAGTTCATCACCAGGAAGACTAATCTTTAATTACAAGACATCCTTATTAACATTAATTAGTATGCACTCTTAAAAAGTATTTTAATGGACTTTAGATTAGTAGATTTAGGGAACCTGCTGCTTTCAACTGTCATTCATGAGCAACCTGTTTTATGTGATATATTTTATTGTGTTCAAAATCAGCTTATGCCATTAAAATTGATATTCTTAGCACATTTTAAATAACAGGTTATTTTAAAAAGGCAGACTTTATTTGGAAATATTCAAATGTACATTCAGTGGAGCTAATGATTGTTGGATCAAAATATTAAGAGTTATTTTGATGAACATTGTTGTACATTATATGCATTTATTCATTTTCATATTGTCAATCAATAAAACTATCGTTGCTTCTTGTACTTTGTTACATAGAACATAAAACTTACGTATTACACTTCGAGATTTTAAACCAGAAAATGACACATTCAGTAGTTTTGAGCATGTATCTCACTTAGTCAGCTTTTTAACTTCTTAATAGTGTGCTTTATACTCGTTTTTCCTTTACTTACTCATTTCTTGTTGTCAGATAAAAGACTTAAGACAGATTTGGATACATTTTTATTGATGGGCCTAATTTAAAGAGTTATAGGCATTTAAATTTAGATTCAGTACTTCTAAACAAGTTGTAGGCATAAAAGTATGAGACTGAGTGAAAAATCAGTGAGGTAATCACAAAGACTGATGTAGTTAGGAGTTTGGTAAAAGAGAGAACATATAGTTAACTTTTAGACAGCTGTGTTATTGCAAGTATGGATTTGTAATCTTGTCCATTGATCTGTGAGCTAAATAATTCTGAGCACTCATTCAACTTAATGTGTGAGGCTTTAACTGAAGAACTCCCATTAACGTTAATAATGAGATTTGCATTGTCAAAGCTATGCATACAGTATTGAAAATACACCACTTCAAGTCAGTTTTTATTTTCTTATGTTAAATAAGATAAAAATAACCATACTGCGACCACTTTGGTTCATAGGCAACAGAGTTAGTTCTTTTAAATTCTGTTAGCTGAAATTTAAAAAAAACAGTTGCGATCACTCTAACATGCCTGTGTAAATGCAATGTTCCATCATTCATTGTTGTCTAATAACTGACAAAGAAAATATTCTGCACAAGAACACAAGTCTTGGACTATTTTTCTGACTCCCAGCAACTAAGTTTACCATATTTACTTATTTTGAGTGGATGTACATTACTCACATATTCCAAGCAGAACTATCAGAATGATTCATGAGGGCCTTTCAGATTTACACTAAATATACTTGATATAATATCAGGTAATCAGTAACCACAATGTAAAGGGTAAAATATAAGACCTGGTAGTAATGGGGGACTTTACCTATCCAGATATCTATTGGAAAAGTAATATGGCAAAACCACAATATTTCCAGTAAGTTCTTGGGGACAACTTTTTGTTTCAGAAAATGAAGGCAGTAACCAGGAGGGAAGCCATTTTAGACTTGATTCTGATTAACAGGGGGATTTGGTAATGAATCTGAAAGTGGAAGGCAATTTGGATGAAAGTGATCATGAAATGATAGATTTCATGATTCTAAGGAAAGAGTGAGAGCAGCAGAATAAGGACAATAAACTTAAAAAAAGCTGGGAGCAGGGCCACTGCTCCAGGGTTGGGGGACATGGACAAGGGTAAGGGGGCCGAGGCTGGGGCCACAGCTGGGGATGGGGGCAGGGGCAGGATTGGGAGCAGAGCCAAGGCTGGCAGCCGGGGGCGTGGGGCCAGCAGCCGGGACTGGGGCCAGGAGCAGAGCTGGATGCCCCCGGAACATTCCTCAGTGCCCCCTAAAGGGATGTGCCCCACAGTTTGGAGATCTCTGATGTAATTAATCAGTACATACAGGCTCTCAACACCATACTAAAGTTATATTTTAATAGTGCATTATGTTAAAATGTGACTCGAAAAATTGATTTTCTAAATAGTGCTGCACTTCAGAATGAGTTCATAAAATACTCCATCTCTGGCATTTTCTTATGTTTTTATAGACAGGCATAGTACTAACCAATATACTTTCCTGTTCAATAGATGTGATTGCACACCTGGATATGTAGGAGAACACTGTGATATTGACTATGATGACTGTCAAGACAACAAGTGTAAAAATGGAGCACAGTGTACTGATGCAGTGAATGGGTATACATGTATATGCCCGGAAGGGTACAGGTGAGAGAGACTTGAAGACAGGACAAACATTTATATTTTTATCATACCATGGGGTGATTTTGTCTGAAATACTGGTTTTTGTGTTTGTATTTAGTGGCCTTTTTTGTGAGTTTTCACCACCAATGGTTCTCCCTCGCACCAGCCCTTGTGATAACTATGAGTGTCAGAATGGAGCTCAGTGCATCATAAAAGTAAATGAACCGATATGTCAGTGTTTGTCAGGTTACCAGGGTGACAAATGCGAAAAGCTGGTTAGCGTAAACTTTGTGAACAAAGAATCCTACTTGCAAATTCCTTCAAGCAAGGTCCGCCCTCAGACCAACATCACTCTGCAGGTAAGAAGGGGTACATTGGCAAAAACTGATCTTGAGCGATGGTCATTTTCTTCATCGTAAATCACTGCAAGTTGACATGTGTCCTGATCATGTATCATGGGGGAGAAATACATACATATAAAACAAATGCATACATACAAAAGTTGTCATTAGTCAGTTAAAAACTTTAGACTCTCTGACCTACAGAGAACTAGAATCACCATTGAAATTAGCATCACAACTGATTGATGTTTATCATCTGACTATCCCAATTAATGTTTTATAACAAAGAAAGAAATATTGGTAATGACCATGGGAATGAGTGCAACCCATTTAGCATGTCAGGTTTATTTGGGTTCATTTCCTTATAAATTAGTGTTTCTTTTTTCACTAGATTGCCACAGATGAGGACAGTGGAATCCTGCTGTACAAAGGTGACAGAGATCATATAGCAGTGGAGCTGTACCGTGGTCGAGTGAGGGTCAGTTATGACACAGGATCTTATCCAGCATCTGCCATTTACAGGTGAACGCAAATACAATAAATTACAGTTCAAGACAAAACGTGTATGATCTCTTGCTGTCTGGGATCTAACGTCAGATTTTGCAGTAGACATTTAGAAGAAGGAATATTTTTTGACAAAATGTAGTGTCAGACTTTATGGAGTTGAAAGACTACTACTTCTTAAGCACATAATTTCAATTGGAAAATTACCTTAATATGAAAAATGGTATATAGAATGGTATGTGTTAAACTGAAAAGAAAGGGTAAGTTTCTACAAGATATTTACACTTTTTTTTTCAGAACAAATACATGCAAACAATCTTTCTCTTTTATTCTTCTTCACAGGTAATTTCCTAGTCTGTAGTGTGGCCTAAAAGTTAGTGTTACCTGAATCACCTGAAACACCATAAACAAAAGTGAAATTGCAATTTCTCTGTGTCCTCCATGTCAGACATGCCTCTACAGTGGGGCATTTCCCTCCATTAGTAACTGGAGGCAAACTAGATCTTTGGTTATGAGCCAGGGTTTAGGACCAGCTCTGAGAAAGAATTTCCCTCTGCTTCCAAACCTGTGCAGACAAAGGCTCCACATTTCCTTTTGTAATAAGCTTTCCATAGGATTTTTGGACTATTTTAAACTACATTTTTCTAATTTTCTTCATTGGCTTTTAGGTTTTTCCTCCTCAAAATTACTATCTTCAAAAATACCTTCTCCTAGGTTTCTGAGGAAACTTCATGGGGAAGCACCATGGGGCAGCACCCTCTCTTTCCTCAGAATTGTCAGATTGCGACTGCAAGGGGAAGCAAAAGGCCAAAAGATTTCACCACTATTTGACCCCAACTACCACCACCAAGAAAGCTCCCAGGTGCAAATGTAAGAGCTGAGCTGGTACTTAGGTTAGGTCCACACCAAACCAGTTAAACAGGCTGCAAGGAATCTTCCCTCTCTGAAACCAGGCCAAAAGCCAGCAGCATAGAATCCTGAGTAAGCTTGTCAAAGCATTCTTCCCAGACAAAATCTTTTCAGCGTTTTCAGAAAGGAAACACAAAAGGGGTGTGAACACAACTAAAGCAAACTCATTTTAAATCTGCGTTGAACCCTCATGATCTTTTTGGTTTGGTTTGGTTTTGCAGTATTGACTTGTCTCCTACTCGTGGTTATTATGACCACATTTATGTGGGTGTACAATATAATGATACATATTTGATGGAAATTGTAGAAGCTGTCACCTATTTTACATTTTGTAGGGGACATTTTATTTAAAATAAATGAGAAAACAGAATTAAAAACCTAATTTTTTTCTCATGAGGAGGTAGGAAGAGGGGATCAGACCAGGCTAACCCCCTTCAGAACCTGGCTCAGATAAGGAGGGCAGGGTCACACCCCTGTAGATGGGTTTGGAGCTCCCAGATCATGGCACACACATGAGAGGGGAATGTGGGGCTCACAGGCACCTTGCCCCTATTCTCCTCCAGTCCCCCTGTCACTTACCCCTGTATCCCCTTTTCCAGTGTCCCACCCTCTCCACTCTTTATATTTCACTCTAAGACAAGACTGCTTTCAATACAGTGTGTTCCCATTCGTCCTTTCTTCTGTTCCTAGACTGTTTTCAAAGGTCTTTGTCAGTGATGGCAGCTTACCTTCACAGAAAAATAATTCTAATATTCCCACATCTCAGCGATTGGGGCATTTTGCTGAAGGGGCATTCTTACAACAAGACCTTGTTGGCCACTCAGAAGGCCATATCACTCCTTTCTCAAACTGGGACTTCAGTTAAACATTCAAAAGTCCACTTTGACCCCTTGCAAAGATTGGAGTTCAGAGGAGCTTACCTCAGTGCAGTAACAGCCAGAGCCTGCCTCCCAAAGCACAGGTTTATAACCCTATTGAATTTAGTCACCACAATTCAAGTCAGGCCCCAAACATCAGTCAAAAACTTACATCAGTCTCCAATTGTTGGGGCATGTGGCAGTTGGTACTTTTGTAATAAGCCAGGCAAGGTTACACATGCAGTGCCTGGAGGGGTCACTCAGAACTCTTTATTCTCTGAGCAAACATAGCTTGAACAGACTAATCTCGATTGGTGGAAAGACCCTGACAACATTTGCACAAGAACATCCTTTACTCAACTGTCCCCAACAGTTGTAATAACAACAGATGTATCTCTGTGGGGATGGGGTGCACATCTTGACATTCACACTGCTCAGGGCAGGTGGTCATCTCGTGAGACCCCTCTACACATCAACTTAATGGAACTCAGGGCAATCAGCAATGACTGTCTCTATTTTCTGCCATTGATCACAGGCAAATATGTAAAGATCATGACAGACAATATGACGCATGTTTTATATCAACCAAGAATGGGGAGTGAGAAGACCCTCTCTCTGCACTGGAGCAGTGAGACTTTGGAACAGTGTTGGGGCATTCCGCAGGTAGAACTCTTTTCCACTGCTATGAACAGGAAGTGTTCCCATTTGTTTGAGCAGGGGACTAGGTCGCCACTGACTGGGAGATGCCTTTCTCCTTCATTGGACTCAGGTCTGTTGTATGCATTTTCCACAACACCTCTAATGTCGGTGTTGATCAAAATAAGGTAAGACAAGGCCAGAGTTACGCTGATGTTTCAGACATACCCGCTACAAGTGTTGTTTCCTTACCTCATCCACTTGGCAGTTTGTCAACTAATCACCCTCCAGGCTACCCCTCATATTCTCTCTCAGGATGCCGGTCATATTCTTTACCCCAGCCTCCAAGTTCTTTGTCTCAAAGCATGACTTATCGATGGTTTGTGGGGTTAAAAATACCCTGTTCTGAAGAAGTGAAAAGGGTAGGAAGTGATCTACCTGTAATGCTTATCTACAGCAATGGTCAGGAATCAGCCACTGGTGCAGTCTAAGACACCTTTCACCTGTGTCCTTGAATTAAAGATGATGTGGCTGCCTTTGAGTTCTTTGAGTGTACAGTTGCTCATCATTACAACCTTTCATTCCCTGGGTGGAAGGTTTCTCAGCTTTTGCAGAGCCAGTGATGGTAAGGTTTCTCAAGGGTTTGAGGAATCTCTTCCCACAAGTCAAACATCTTACCCAGATTTGGGACCTTAATTTGCTGCTTGGATGCCTATGAGACCTCCCTTTGAGCCAATGGCACCCTGTTCTGTACTTAACTTATCAATGAAAATGTCCTTCATAGTAACCAATACATCTGTTTGAAGAGTTGGAGAGATAGGGGCTCTAACGATACATCACCACTTCATAATATTCTTCAAGGATAAGGTTACACGACAGCCACACCCCAAATTCTTACAAAGGTGTCTTCTGAGTTCCATATTAACCAGACCATTCATCTTCCAGTTTTCTTCCCTAAACCACACTGGACTAAGGGAGGATGTGGTACTGCAAACACTCAATGTCAAGAGGGCATTAGCCTTTTATCTGGACAGGACTAAACCATTTAGAAAATTTTACAGGTTGTTTGTCTGTCTTGCTGAAAGGTCTAAGGGATCCTCAATTTTCAATCAAGACCCTAGATAGATATCTGGATGCATTATCTCTTGTTCTCAAGCTAATAATCTTCAACCATTTTCTAGGGTCCTAGCCCATTCAACAAAACCCCTTTCTACTTCTGTGGTCTTAAGAATGTCCCCATTGCTGAGATCTATAGAGCTGCAACTTGGACCTCCATACACACTTCTTTGAAACATTATGCAGTAATCCATAACTCAGCTTCAGATGTTGTGTTTGGCTGTACTATAGTATGTTCAGTTTTGGACTCAACTCCAAAGTTTTTCCCACCCTCAGTGAGTACTGCTTGGTAGTCACCCGAAGTGGAGCACCCTTAGGGACACTATTCAAAGAAGAAGAGGTCACTCACCCTGTACAGTAATTGTAGTTCTTCGCGATGTGTCTCTCCCTGTGTGGTCCACTACCTGCCCTCCTTCCCCTCTGCTTTGGAGTTTCCACTATGGAGCTTTGCAAAAGAGAAGGAACGGAGGGTGGTTTGCCCTTGCAGCTCTGTATAGCCTTGGTGCGGAGCATGTGGCTGTGTAGGGTGCATGGGTGGGCTGAACAGGCAGTGCTACCTAAAAATCTCCCTCCCATGGGGGGCAAAGCACCTGAAGTGGAGCACCCATAATGGTACACATCTCAAAGAACTACAGTTACTACACAAGGGGAGTAACCTCTCCTGCTTTCGGCAGTAGGTTTTCACCAGTAAATAGCAATTTAATCCAGATCTTGTTGGTATTCATTCTTAGGAAAGGACTTTTCACTTTAAATATTCTGTTTTATATATCCTTATAAACATAATTGCTTGCTATGAAGACTTGTATTCAGTGTTACATTGATCCTTTTGATTTGTATTTCATGCAGGGTTGATATGTTCTAAAATTACATGTTTTTATCAACTTCCCAAGAAGTAAGATGTGCACAATATTATTGCTTTCTCTTGGTTATCTCCAGCAACTAGTGATGTGCATTGTTCAACCTGGCACCATCTTGTTCCTGAAAGCATTAAAATATGTTAAATGAAAGCCAGTGCTGCATTTCTTGTCTCTGCACATAGAGCTGTGATATTTTTAGTCTTTCTGTCAGTCAGACTGAAAACCTCAAGTTATATATATGAAGAAAAGCAGTATTATTGTGCACATCTTACCTGATATATATGTGCACTGGTCAGAACATTAGACCTTGCCATGTGGGAATCTAGAACACTGTCTTTTTACTTTTTCACATGTAGCACAGCCATCTCTCCTCCTTCACCTGCCAAAAAGTGCTTATTCCATTTTACAGGTTTCAGAGTGGTAGCCGTGTTAGTCTGTATCAGCAAAAAGAACGAGGCGTACTTGTGGCACCTGAGAGACTAACAAATTTATTTGGGCATAAGCTTTCATGGGCTAAAACCCACTTCATCTGATGTTAGTCTCTAAGGTGCCACAAGTACTCCTCGTTCTTATTCCATTTTAGACATCTAAACCTCAGGGTTGAAACGGGAAGGCCTTGTCTGCACTGAGAAATTTCAGACATTCTCTCGCCATGCTAGCAAGGAGAGAAGGCATGATACAGACATACGCAAACACTTCTTTACCACCATGTCACTGTGTTAGGTAGGGGGAAAATGCATAAATATACCTGTGCCTAGTCTACCATAGCACTTACTCTATTGCTAGCAGAAGTGGAGTTGTGAAAGGCTGCATCTACACTTGGAGCTGGGGCTGTGATTCCCATGTCAAGCAGATACTCACGCTAGCTCTCATCAAGCTAGCACACTGAAAATAGTAGCATAGCAACTATACTATAGGCACTGGCAAGTGGCAACACAGACTAGTCCCCCTGACTACAAATCTGACAAACCCTATGATAATGTATTTGGGGCAGCTAGCCCATGTTGCTGCTGCTGACAGTACTATTGTAGCATGCTAGCGTGAGTATGTCTACTTGAGCTGGAAAGCATTCCCCACGCTCCAAGTATAGCTGTAGCCCCAGTTCTAGCCTAGTGATGGGAGTATGTCTGTAAATCCTCAGTGTAGACACAGCCCCGATTCTCTGGAATAACAGGTTCAAATCTCACTGGTGTCAACTCAGCTCTTAACTCATTCAAGATAAATGAATGGAATACTGTTTTCATCACTGGAGTTTCATTTTGTTTTTTCAATTAAGATTTAAAAATAATAGCGATGTTCACTTTGCATGATCTCATGGCACGTTTTGTAAAGGTAGGGGTTTGTTTGCAGACAAATTTTTTCCTCCTACTGTAGTGGACATAATATCTGGTTGAAGTTATATGTATATAGTTAGTAAACTCTTTTGGGAATACTTCAGACTGAAAGGTGCCATTAATATGTAAAATATACTAGTAGCAATACTACAATGCTATAGAAATAGTAATACAATTTATTATCTGTTAATAAGCATGACTGCACATCTTTACTTAAAATCTAGTTGTCAGATTACATTACTGGGGAAGTTTTGCTCTGAAGCTATATACTGTTTAAAGGACAGACGGTCAAGGAAATCCTAACCAAGATTCAAATGTTTTAAAACTTCTTTTTTTCTTTTTGTTGTTGTTGTTGCAGCGTTGAGACAATAAATGATGGGAATTTCCACATAGTGGAGCTGCTAGCCATGGATCAGATTCTATCTTTGTCTGTTGATGGAGGAAGTCCCAAGATCATTACCAACTTGTCTAAGCAATCAACTCTGAATGTTGACTCCCCACTTTATGTAGGAGGTAGGGGAACTTACTGTTTTCTATTAGAGATGTTATAGCAAATGTACTCTGGAAATATGCATTGACAAAAGCATAGTAAAGGGCCACTTCACTGAGTTAATTCCCAAAGATGACACTCAGGGCAATTAATCCTGAAATAGTTTCATTGTTAACTATAGTAGTAGATGATTCAAATGTCTACATAACAATCTAAAAGTAAATACTCGATTGCTCTAGGAGGAGTGTAGTTGAAGGACCAGAGAGTTCCTGGTAATTCATAACTGTTGTTTTCCGACAGTAAGGATGTGATCCACAGTGCAATATTTATAATTATGCTTTTCCTATTATTATTTAGTTTTAAACAGGATTGGAAAGTGCATAGCATTTCATAGACAAGCCCCAGGGGCCTGTTTTTGACTCCTTAGCACCTTGAATAGTCATATATGCCTGTGCAAAATGGGCGTAAATGCTATCATTCTGTTTCAGTGGTGTTTTACATTCACTTTACACTGTAAATATACACACGTATAAATGATGGCAAGATGCAAGGCAATGAAAAAAATCACACCCTCCATTTCTGCCCTGAGGAGCTTACAATATAGGTTAAATATGACACAGGGAGAGGACGTTAGGCAAAAGGCAGGAACAGGTGGGGGACTTACATAGTAAAAGGTTGTGACAGTTCTTGCTTTCACACTGTACATACTATGGTAGTACTTTTTTCAATAAGAAATATTTTTTAAACTGACACAATTAGACTCTTGTAAAGATAACTGAAATTGTGGGTTTTTTTGAGTATTTGTCCGCACAGAACTCACTGTCGGTATGTGTGCCCCATGCGCACGAGCCCAGACTCTTTAAACCAACAGTGTCCTTTGGGGCTGCTCATGTGCCCTACACACCCATATGCCCCTACAGCAAAGTTATAAAAGGCAGAACACTCCCAATGTCATTGTTCCTCTTCACCACTCATGACTGGAAGTTAGAGCCCAGAGTGTTGTCTTGCTTCCTTGCAGTTCTGAGATAGGATCAGAGTTTACAATTACTTATTAATTTAGTCTTATTGTAGTTTCTGTAAGTTTCATTTAAGCCTGTTGGCTTTTGTTTTAAAGGACTTTTTCCCTTCTTTTTCTTCTGAGTCTCACTTCAGTACCAAGGAGTAGGTCCAATGGCTGAGAATAGCCTCCAGGCTTTAAAATCTGCCCTGCCTGCAAGACAGCTATGCCTGCCAGTGATGCACATAGGAAATGCCTGTTTTTATTTAGGGGAGTCTCATATCCCAAACAAGTGTGCTATTTGTAATTATTTTTCTAAATGCACACAGAAAGCTCATGGCACCCACTTGAAATTCTTTCTGATGGAAAACTCAGTAAGACATCTCTCACTCTGAGGTCCCTCTTCAGAAACAGTGTCCTCATGCTTCAAAAGCAGGTTCAGCAAGTGCTGTGGCTACAAGACATCATTCCAGGGGTTAAGCCTTCAGATCCTTCTCCTTAATCCTCTTTGGGTAAGGCAGAGCCCCCCCCCCCGCCCAAGATATAGGAAGGAACAAAAATCTGTGGTCATCATCCCCAGTACTAGCCAAGAGCTAACCATCATCGTGCCTCTGACTTGCCTAAACTAGCTCTTTCAAAATCACATTGGTACTGTAAGTCATCAGAGATTGTGGGATTGTGTTCTTCTGCAGCAGTTCTAACCCATCCATCTCATGTGACTATCACTGTTTCCTTAGCACCATTTTGGTATCAGTACTGTACGCCACAGATTCATCAGTATTGCATTATGATCAAAATTTATCTGCTAAGACTCCCACGTCAGTACCATTGGCCATGGTACCATCGTCATCGGTACTGCCTCCTATGTCTGCCATGGCTGCTTTTACATCTCCTGCAGACCTAACCATCTCTCCGGAACCAGTGTCCCCTTCACTAGATGTTTCTCTTTTACCTGTGGTATCCAAATCTCTGCTTGTACCGGTGTTGAAAATGAAAACCTCTTTGCATCCAGCTTCTACAGTACCATTTTCTGCTGTTCATACTGTCATGTCTGAGTTTCTTCCTGTTTCTACACCTCAGGGATTTGACCTTTTTAAAAAGAATTTTATTGATCTGCATCACCATAATCTTCTAATGGCAGCAGAAGCCCTTCTCCTAGATCTCCTCCTCTATGTAGATTGATTCCTGAGAGTAGCATTGGAGGGAGTCCCTCTTGTTACAGATCTCATGCTTCAGAGAAATTTTGTGTTCCCTGGTCTGAAATCTGTAATATGAAGTCCAATAAATACAATTACAAAGTTCTGCACTTAGGAGGGAAAAATCAAATGCACAAATACAAAATGCATTTGTATGCATTACATGGTTAAGTAGTGGTACTGCAGAAAAGGTTCTGGGGGTTATAGTGGATCAGCCAAAAATGTGATGTGATTGCGAAAAAGGCAAAGTCATTCTGGGGTGTATTAACACAAGTGTTGTATGTAAGACCCGATAAGAAATCGTTCTGCTCTACTCAGCACTTGTGAGGCCTCAGCTGGAGTACTGTATTCAGTTTTGGGTACCACACTTTAAGAAAGCTGTGAACGAATTGGAAAGAGTCCAAAGGAGAGCAATAAAACTAATAAGAGGTTTAGAAAACATGGTGTATAAAGTAAGATTGAAAAAACTGGGCATGTTAAGTCTAGGGAAGAGAAGACTAAGGGGCGATATGATGAAAACAGTCTTTAAGTATGTAACAGGTTGTTATAAAGAAGATGAAGATCAGTTGTCCCCATGTCCACCAATGGCAGGACAAGAAGTTATAGGATTAATCTGCAGCAAGGGAGATTTAGGTAGCTAGTAAGAAAAACTTTTTGACTATACATATAATTAAGCAATAGAACAGGTTACCCTGTTGCACATGGAATCATGTCCAAGGTTATGGAATCCCTTTCACTGGAGGTTTTAAAGAACAGGTTAGACAAACATTTGTCAGGGATGGTCCAGCGATACTTGCCTCAATGCAGGGGATGGATTAGCTGACCTCTTGAGGGCCCTTCTAGCCCTACATTTCTATGATTTGATGTGTATCTGTATCTTGGCTGATTTGAGGTCACTCATCGCAGCAGATCATCACACAGTTCTACAGCTGTTTTCCAAACTGGGCCTCCAGATCAAGTGAGAAAAGTCCATTCTCACCCCTACTCAGTCCATAGAATTTATTGGAGCAATGCTGTACTCCAGATTGGCAAGAGTCTACCTTTCTCAAAAAAAAAATAAAAATAAAAATAAAAATAAAAAAGGTGATGAATCACCTCATTTCATACATTGTCTCATCCAAGAATGTCAGTGAAAGATCTCCTAAATTTACTGGATCATATGGCAGCATGGACATACATGATTCCATGTGCAAGATGAGCCTCTGGCCCCTTCAGGGCTTGATTTATCAGCAAATCAAATGCAGTATGGACTTACTGGGAGATGTTCTTTTGAAAATACGGTCATCTCTGCTTTGGTGGACAGATGTTCAAAATGTATACCAGTGTATTCTGTTTGATCCACCACCTCCTTCAAAGATTCTGGTGATTGATGCTAGGTGCTTATTTGGTCTTTCTTCAGATGCAGGGCATGTGGTCCTGAGCAGTGTCTCAGTTGAAAATAAATGTGACCGAGCTGAGGGCCACTCTACTAACCTGGAAGGCATTCCTGGGGAGCAGTAAGACCAGGATCTATGGCAGATGCATTTCTGATTCCGTGGGAAAGAACCTGCTTTATGCCTTTCTTTCCATTCTGCTAATTCCCAGAGTCTTCAAAAAGCTGTATCAGGACAAGGGCCAGGTGACAATGGTAGCTCCAGCACGGTTGCATAAGTTCTGGTATTCTGACCTGATGCATCTGTCCATCAGACCATCTCTTCGACTTCTGAACCTCTCAGACATCATTTTGCTGAACCAAGGCCTAGTGCTCCACCTGATGTTTGCAAATGGTATCTAAATTTTTCAATGGCGTGATTCATGCATTTCCACCAGTTAAGGTGTTGTTCCTACCTGTGACTTGAATGTAGTTCTCCTGTCTTTGATGGACCCTTCCTTTGATCCACATCATCACATTCTCTCTATCTCTTCTGCTAAACTGACATTTTTGGTAGCCATCATCTCCACTCTTTGGGAAACTCAGACTTTGATGGCAAGACCCCCTTACATCATTTTTCATAAAGACAAGGTTATTCTTAGACTACATCCAAAATTTTTCCCGAAAATTGGAAAAGTGGTTTTAGGTTTTCATATAAATCAATTTATACACTTACCAGTATTTTTTCCTAAACCTCATGATTCTCCTGCATAGGCCAAAACAACATAAGCTAGACATTCTTAGAGCTATGTTCTTTTACCTTTTCAGAACAAAGACATTTTGTAAACCATCCAGACTCTCTGTGGCTTTTGGTGGTAAGTCTAAAGGGCAGGCTGTGTGCTGTCAAATACTCTCTAAATGGGCTACAGTTAGCATTAGGATATACTATTCATTAAACCAAATACCTCTTCCCTCTTGAGTTAGGGCACAATCTATGAGGGATCAGTTGATAACAGTAACTTGTTTTAGAGGGTCCCTGTTTCTCAGATTTGGAGGGCAGTAATTTGAAATTCTATTCATAAGTTCATCACCAGCCCGTTGTGGTGCCTTTTAGATCAAATGTCCAATTTGGCTGGGTTATCCTACAGTCACTATTTAAATAGGACTCCTGTCACTTACCTCCTTGAGAAGTAACTGCTAGCCGCTTACAGTGGGATCTGTGGCGTTCGAGATGCCTTTGTCCACGTGGATCCCATAACCTACCCTCGTTCCCCACTGATACACAGTCCTTACCTGGATTTTTTGTACTAGTGAAGAAATGGAGGGGTGGTTGGGGCTGCTTCCACCTTTTATACACTCACAATAGGGGGCGTGAGGGCATGCAACCTCATGCACAATCCCAGTGGACCGTGCTGGCTAAGAAATTCCAGGCCTGCACATACTTACAGTGGGATCTGTGTGAATTAAAGTATCTTGAAGAACTCCAGTATGTAAGGTAAGTAACTGCGCTCTTTCTGTTGCTTCCGATTTAGTCTGCGAAGTGACAGTTGGCTAAGGATGGGAAGACCCTTGTTCTTGACTCTGCCTGGGCATAAGAGTGTGCTTGTGTGGTTATTGCTGCAAGACTAGTGTCCTAGCAAGGAAACTATATGCATTGTGTATGGTGCATGTGTAAAAATATTAGGGCTGTCAAGCGATTAAAAAAATTAATCGCAATTAATCATGCGATTAAAAAAATTAATCGCGATTAAGCGCACTGTTAAACAATAATAGAATACCATTTATTTAAATATTTTTGGATGTTTTCTACATTTTCAAACATATTGATTTCAATTAGAACACAGAATACAAAGTGTACAGTGCTCATTTTATATTTATTTTTGATTACAACCTAATTCAAGTACTGTACTGCAATCCCTTTATCATGAAAGTTGAAATTACAAATGTAGATTTTTTTTATTACATAATTGCACTCAAAAACAAAACAATGTAAACCTTTAGAGCCTACAAATCCACTCAGTCCTACTTCAGCCAATCACTCAGACAAACAAGTTTGATTACAATTTGCAGGAGATAATGCTGCCCGCTTCTTAGTTTACAATGTCACCTGAAAGTGAGAACAGGCTTTCGCATGGCACTGTTGTAGCCAGTGTCGCAAGATATTTACGTGCCAGATACGCTAAAGATTCATATGTCCCTTCATGCTTCAACCACCATTCCAGAAGACATGTCCATGCTGATGACGGGTTCTGCTCGATAATGATCCAAAGCAGTGCGGACTGATGCATGTTCATTTTCATCATCTGAATCAGATGCCACCAGCAGAAGGTTGATTTTCTTCTGAGGTGGTTCGGGGTCTGTATTTTCTGCATCGGAGTCTTGCTCTTTTAAGACATCTGAAAACATTCTCCACACCCCATCCGTCTCAGATTTTGGACAGCACTTCAGATTCTTAAACCTTGGGTTGAGTACTGTATCTATCCTTAGAAGTCTCACATTGGTACCTTCTTTGCGTTTTGTCAAATTTGCTATGAAAGTGTTCTTAAAATGAATATGTGCTGGATCATCATTCAAGACTGCTATAACATTAAATATATGGCAGAATGTGGGTAAAACAGAACAGGAGACATACAATTCTCCCCCAAGGAGTTCAGTCACAAATTTAATTAACACTTTTTTTTTTAACAAGCATCAT